ACTTCGAAAATACGAATTTTGATTCGTTTATGCGTTGAAATTGGGAATAGACGAGGTGGCTAATAGGCAAAGTCCATTTGCCGTGTATTAACGGTGTTTATACTCGTGGGGACAACGCGATCCTCGTTAATCACGACAAATTCACCGTGATTAATTATGCTTTTCGCTCGATTTACCTTTCCGTGATCGCGAGACCGCCCCTCCCCCTCTTCGTCGCTTGCTGAATATCCTCTTCTCCTCTTCTTTCTCTCTCCTTCGCTTCTCCCCCACCCTCCTCTTTTGTCAACGTATAATCGAGAGGAACGGCTCGCGTTTCTTCTTCTCCGTTTTATGTGTCGCATAGAGACTCTCGAATAAAGCGTTGTCGAGTTTCTTTGATGACGATTTTCTCAACGTTTCTCGTCGAGATCAACCCTCGAATTCTCGTTCGTCGAAACTTCCTCCCTCTTCCCCTCCTCTAAACGGAATAGCTTATTCGTGTTATTTATCGTGTTTGATCTGTAAAATCTAAGAAAAAAAAAAAAATAATCGACCGATAAAAATATTTCGAAGCGAAATAGATGCATCGAATTTTTCCTCGCGGAAGAATACGAGTAGAACAAGGGGGATTCTCAAAAGAGACGAGAAACTTCGTCCCTTCGGCCGGATGTGTCATTTGGTACCTGGGTCACGTAGCTCTTCGTATTGACAGGCCAACCAGGCCGACCAACCAACCAACCAGCCAGCCAACCAACCAACCAACCAACCACCCTTCTCCCGTCCTCGCTTCGAATCTTGTTTCAGAGGCCTAGCTTTATCCAGATTCCGAGGGAACAATCGCTTTCTTTCCCAATAATCCTCCGCGATAAAACGAAAGATTATTATTCTTAATGTTACATGCTTCTTTGATCACAATCCGTTTACCAGAATCTAATTAATTAAACGATCGATTTTTATTCGTTTTTATTAAAATTGTAAATCGTAATACGCGTGTAATAATATTTTTCTCTTACTCTTTTCAGAGTATTTAGCGTAGCAGATATGATACAGCGATGAGCCTGCAGGCACAGGCTCAAGCACAGCGCTCTGCGAGGTACTCCCCTCAAGAGACCATCAAGGTAAGAGAAAATTATATTTACGCCCTTACTTTTCTTTCAACGGCGCGGTTAATATTTCTTTTTCTTTTTCTTTTTTTTTTTTTTCACAAGAAGAACATACGAAGAATCGTAGATATTAATATTTTTCGTTCGAGCATCTACGTTCTTCTTCTGAAAATTTCACTCTTTTGTTCTTTCTTCGAGCGTATGCGAAATTAGAAACGTGTAAGATAACGTCGTCCTGTGGAGAATCGCTCCTCGACGAGTTTTAACGTAATTAACGCGGCCGCTCGTCACACACGATTCACTCCTCTCCCTCTTCATCATCGGGGTTAATCCTATACGTGTTCGAGTGCACGCGACCTTGTATCACTTCCTGCCTGCTCTCAACTCGAGGGAGAATCCCGAGAGAAAAGTGTACGCGATTTCGAATAAATGTTTCCTCGTTAAACAACGATCAAAAAGTTGAGAGTTTTAAGCAGAATTGCGCCAACCGTGACGTAATGTGCGATAATAAATTTTCGACAGAACGAACGTCAAGGAAAGAGACGAAATATCGAAGCAAAGAGTTTAATTTGATTCTTCCGTAATCGTGATTGACGGAAGGATATTCCTCACACGACGATGTGATCCTCATGCATCATCGACTCTCGTCCCTCTTTTCGTTCAAACGATTAATAACTTGTCCCCTCGCTATCCACTCTTGGATTCGCGAAAGTTTTTCTTTTTTTGCAATTCAGATATTTCAATTTTTCCCTCGCGTAAAAATTTTTCCACGCCCCAAAATATCCATACAGAGTTTCGTTAAACTCGTAAACTCGATCCGTCAACTAATTACGATTTTGGCGCGATATAATCGGCGTACTATCTATCCGGCACCGTGTCTGGTTATTAATTAAACTTGCAAATCGACTAATCGGATAATCGATAATCTCTAATTACACGCGCGACCGTTCGAATTAATATCAAATCCAAATCGAAATCTTTACGAAAAATCTTGGCTGTCGCGTGGTGGGTTTATCGCTTTTCGACCGCGCCATTCGAGAAAGAGTGAGAGAGAATAGAAATTCCCGGTAAAATTTTTAATTGTTTCAGCTGAAACAATTATAGTTCTCTTAATAATCCTCTTAATCAGATTCTTTGTAATAGAATTTTTTTCGTTAAATAACGTTATTGCTAAAGCGATATTTTACGATTCTTCTTCTTTCTTGTGTATACAATTATTGCAGATTATCAATAAAAATTCAAAACTCCCTTATCGTCGCTCATAACATTAATAGAAACGTATAGATACGTACTGTTGTTGCTAGGAAATATTGTTTAACGATTAAGAGAGGAAACATCGGGTTCATCTTATTGCCAGCGATATCCGAGATGTATTAAAACATATTTAATCCCGCCTATTAGTATCAATAGTTAGTAAACAGCAATAAAGTGTTATATTTATCCGCGTACCGAGCATAATTTTCCACGCGAATGCGCTCCCGGCTCGCCGCTTTTTCCTAACGACTGTCTTAATTAATATTGCCGCTGTCCGTGTACGCGATCGCGACCTTGTCGCTCCCCCTTGCTCCTCGTTCCGCGGATAATTTTCCGCGCCAGTGCTTCAACTTTGCCCCGCTCTTCCGCACCACCCGTCCACCACTCCTTCCTTCTTTTTTCTCCGCCTTCCGTGGCTCCCTCGACACGTCGAGAGGGACGCGGTGCGGATGACAAAATGCTGAAATTATCGCTCCTCCAATGATATTCCTTCGCGTTTTTTGCTCCATCGTTGGAAGGACGTTAGAAACCGTTGGAAACCGTTGAAAACCGTTAGAAACCGTTTCATCCATCCATGCTCATATTTGAAGTGTATACGATTGTTTGCTTTCGTTTCTCGTGCTGACTCGTGCGTCCATTGCCTCGACAAGCGATTTCCACTTATACGCGAGCGAACTGAAAGCTTAATCGTTCGGTTTATAAGTTCGAGCTTATTTCTTTCTCCTTCCCTCTATTTTTTTCCCCCTCCAGAAGAAGGTAAAGAGAGCGACGTGGTTAATTCGTTTTGGTGGAGATGAAGAGGGCCGAGATTTCTTCCCTTCCCCTTCTCTTCTCGGAGACGAAGAGATTTTGGGTGTCGAGACCCGGCCACGCCCCGGCCATGAGGACGAGATGATACACCATTTCGCCAACCCTCTTGGTACCTGCCAAAATCCCTCGAGCCTCCGTTGCGCGGATAATTAAAGATACAACGCCTACCACCGACCTCGCGCCACGCCAACAGAACCCGTTCTCCGTTTCGAGATCCAACAACACAGGGGAGTGAAGAGGGGGTTGAGAAAGCGATAAATTGACTTACGCCCGCAGAATCTTATCGCTAAACTTGTGCCGTTTCCCGTCCAATCAATTTTCACCGCCTCATCCGATTATTTCTTTCGTTAAATTTACCGAAAAACGTACGCACACGATCCAATTTCAACTCGGTTAAAACGATACTTACTTATCTCTTCGATCCATCCGTCCATCCATCCGAGCTGAAGAAGAAAATTGCTTCTCTTGCCAAGTTTACCGAAAAATGTATACACACGATCCAGATTCAGAGTTTCAAGACGATATTTACCTATTTACCTGTTCATCCGAAGAAGAAAGTTGGTTGGATCGCGGGATACGAAGAAAGATCTCGCGAGAAGGTACAAGTTATCGCAGAAGGGAGAGGAAGGCACGTGGGGTAGAAAGTGGAGTTGCTCCGTGTGAATGCCCTACCGAGCGTTGGTCAGGCATCGATTAACCATTCGAGGATCGACCTAACCATCGTTCCGGAATCGCTTCGATATCTCCGTGAATGCTTCTCTCTCTCTCTCTCTCTCGCTCTATGCCCTCGATGCGCGTTTCTCCCACAATATATTGAGCACACGCGGAACAGGAGGGTAGTCGTTGTCGTTGTATCGCCGATATCGCGGAATATCGAGACACGATCGTGTGAGTTTTTCAACTTACTTTTGTTTATACTTTTATTTATTTGTTTAATGTATTTTTAATGAAGAAGAAAAGGATTAGATTCAAGTTGATCCAGAGAGGATAAATTTAAAGAATTAATGGAAAAATAACGTGGAAGGAGGTTCGATTATACAGGGTGTCCCCTCGAATTAAACGATGCTACAAGCTGCACCAGTGTGCTTTATGAATAAAAATAAAAAAAATACGAAATTCTTGATAAAAAAGTTTATAATAAAAATATCTAAACCTAAAGCCAATAGCGAATTCGAATCGATTCACGAAGATTTTTGAAAGATGGAAAGAGGGAGACGCGTTGTTCGACTTCTCCTCGAGATTTTTATATGCGGGGAACGATTGTGAAAGCGATTGCGTATCGTTCAAACGTCAATTCGCGGCAAAAACTAATAGAAAGGATTAATAGTGCGTTCACGACTTTTTTAGCCGAGCGAAGTAGCAATTCGAGATGATTTTGCGTCACATATGTGACGAGTGCGTTGCGTAAAATGATTTTATACGCTTCGTAATAAAGAAATAAGTAGGATCTGAAGAATCTATTCACGAATACTGCGCTCTTATTAATCGGAGATAACGAAATCTACACAGCATAAATCGCTCGCCACTCGAGTTACATTTCCAACACGAAGTAATTACTTAACTTTAAACTAATTTTACAAAAAAAAAAAAGTAAAAATCTTGTCGATAATTTATAATAATTTAAACTAAATTCTTGATGAATTTGCGGAATATTTCTCAACGTATTGAAACTATTGATCGATCAATTATCGATTATTGGCTCTCTGTTTAATTCGTTTAGAAAGAGGATTTAAAATTTTTTTAACGTATAATTACAAATCGAAGCAATTATTTTTTACAAACTCGAAAATGAATTTTCTCCTCTCGATATACATCGTTCTCTACACTTCGCCTCTCGAGCGCGAAGGGTTAAACCAAAAATATCAAGCCTGCATCTCGATATCCAACTTTCGGCACTTTGAAATGGAAACGCAAACCTCTTCTCGATGCACAACACCCTTTTCCTACTTTTATACTCGTGTACTTCGATCCGTTTGATCCGGGGACACCGCGTAGATGTAGCTGGAGAGAGAGTTTTTTTTCTCGAAATCGTTAAAATCAAAGAGGTTTAAGGCGAGGAGATAAGCTTGCTCCCCAAGTTTTTCGCGTTGCCGAATTTTCCGCGCCCGTGGCCACGTGGCCACGATAAGCCTTTAATCGAAGATTAATATTACCGGGGTTGTTCGGCAGAACCCCTGTCACGCATCGCGATTAAGGGTAGACCTTACGTGTCGCGAGCTATTCCCCCTCTCCTTAAATCCCCCCCTCCTCTTCTTATTTCTTCTTTCTTCCTTTTCGTTTTCTTCAATGCTACCCTTTCGATGTAAATATTCAATTTCCTTTTCCAATGTATCCAATTGTTTCGCACTCTTTTTCTTTCGTTAATCTCTTCTAAAAATGTATATATAAATTTTTCGAAAAAATTTTATGGTTCGAAGGAGGGAAAAATAGTTGTCACGTTGAAACTGCTTAATCAGGCTTGTAGGAACGAGAGAGATACGAATAAGATATATTTCCGTATCGCGATTAAGGAGGGTAATAAATCAAAAGTCGGTATTAATTGCTGTATCAACACTGGATAGAGAGAAAAAGTTTACATATGCACCCCAGAACCCCCTCTAATTATTCTCTCTCTCATAAATCATATTTAAGTGAAACGAGACGCTGCTACGGGACACGATATCCCCGTTTACACTTCTTCGAATTTCGGGTCAAACGGTTTTCGTGTCCGCGATATCGTTAT